AATAAGACTTAACTTACTTACTTAACCAAAAAAAACAGTATTGATAGAAGAGGAGGAGACACGTCCACGCAGCATGGTTTAGTCCTGTTGAATCCTGTTTGAGACATAGTTTAGACCTGGTTTTAGTCCTGGTTTAGTCCTGTTTAGACTGTTTTTTAGACCGTTTAGGGTTTAGACCTGCTTTTAGACCTGGTTTAGTTTAGAGTCTTTTAGACTGGTTTTAGTTTAGACCTGCTTTTAGACCTGCTTTTAGACCTGGTTTAGTCCTGACCTGTTTTAGACCTTTTAGACCTGGTTTAGACCTGGTTTTACCTGGTTTTAGTCCTGGTTTAGTCCTGGTTTAGACCTGGTTAGACCTGGTTTAGACCTGTTTAGACCTGCTTTTAGACCTGTTTTGACCTTTTAGACCCTTTTAGACCTGTTTTAGTTTAGACCTTTTAGGTTTTAGACCTGGTTTAGACCTGTTTAGACCTGTTTAGACCTAGTTTAGACCTAGTTTAGACCAAGTTTAGACCAAGTTTAGACCGTTTAGACCTTTTAGACCTGGTTAGACCTGGTTTAGACCTGGTTTTAGACCTTGTAGACCTTTAGACCTTTAGACCTGTTTTAGACCTGTTTTAGACCTGTTTTAGACCTAGTTTTAGACCAAGTTTAGACCTGGTTTAGACCTGGTTAGACCAAGTTTAGACCGTTTCCAAGTTTAGACCTGGTGTAGACCTGGTGTAGACCTGGTGTAGACCTGGTGTAGACCTGGTGTAGACCTGGTTTAGTGTCCAGCAATGAGTGGAATTACTGAAAAAAAGAAAAAAAAAAGTGAAAACAGAAAAATACCTCAGTGTAATCCTTTTATTTCAGCCAAGTAACTGTAATCCAATTACCTCTCACTTAAACAGTAACTGTAACCGAATACAGTTACGCATAATTTGTACTCTACATGTGCCAGAGTTAAATAATCAATCTGTTACTCCCCAACACTGTTTATTTATAAAGGTTAGAGGAAAAAATCAAGTTGTATAGTTATGTATAAAAAAGTATTTAAAAATCTAAGTAAAAAAAAGTACTGCTCCTATATTCTTAATCTGTACTTCTTCAGACTTCTACTACTACTAGAGATGCTATGATATCAAACCTTAGTTATACAATTTATTTTGATATTTTGAGTGATTTAAAAAACAGGTCTACTTTTTGACTTATGTTGAATTGAAAATGACTTAAATTTCTTTCTAAAATTGTCACATTGTTTTTGTTAGTAACTGAATCATTTTGACCTACTACAAAATATTATGCTCACCGTTTTTACTTTTATCACTATGACTACCAATACTTTGCTTTTACCATTATCCAAATACGCATTATAGTTATAGTCAAAGGTATCAAAAATCGGACACTCATCAATGCTTAAAGGTGTGTTTGTAACTTTTCTGGTGTAGTGTCCGCTGCGACGTTAAACAGATTTACCTTACATTGATTCAATTTCAGGTGGTTTTATAGCTCAAAATTACTTAGACAAACAGGTGTTCTGACTGAGCGGGGTCGCCTCTCCAGAGATCTGACCTGTAATGTAGTCTTGTTTGGTGTCCATGAAGATGCAAAGGTTTAGCGCCATACTGTGAAACATTCTAGACCAGGTGTGGGCAAACTTTTTGTCTCAAGAGCGAAAAAGGGTTCTAAAATTTGACGGAAGGGCCGGACCAGGAGCAGATGGATGGAGTTTTTTGTTAATCCACCTCATAAGAGAAAAAAATATCCCATGTTATTGAAATGTTCCATAATTGAAAAACATTACAAAGCATTACAACAAAATATCTGTCTTTCATGTCCCACGGAATTTGCTATTTGTTGAAATGACTTTTAAAACACTGAAAATGATCATTATTATTCTTGTGTTATTCCCTGTTCTAGACAAACCAATAACATCTCCATGGAGAAAAGCATTTGATGGACCCTCCTCCAGAAAAGTTACACAATGCATCTTTAAACTAGTACTGAAACTAGATACTCATTTGAGCAGGTATCGATACTAAAAAGCCATTTTCAGAAGACAGAGTTGAATCTTTCTTTCCCACATAGACTAGACTTGCACAGATATAAGACCACATGGTAATATACAAAAAGTAGTATTATTTAACGTTGAAAATCACCTTCTATTGTCTAAATACTGTAAATAGTGTTTTAATTATCATAGTAGTATTGGAATCTGTACTGAGTATTGAATCTATTTTTTAGTATTGAAAATGAGTTTGAAATTGTATCATGACCAGGGGTGTAGCAACAAATATTGGGTCCTGGGTTCAAATTGTCTTTGTCATTATTTTTGGTTTGTATGACCATAAACGCAAAAAAAAAAAAAAAAAAAAAAAAAAAAAGGGCATCTTAAAAAAAAATAAATAAAATAATAATAAATAAAAATAAGAAAATAAGAAAAAAAAAGTGATTTAAAAAAAAAAGTCTAACACTGTACAAGCCTTAAAAAAAAAAAAAAAAAAAAAGTATATAAGAGTATAAAAAGTTATGTTTTGAAAATCTAGAGCTATAATGAATGAAAAATAAAAAAAAAAAAAAAAAAAAAAAAAGAAGAAAAAAAAATGATAAAAGATAAAAAAAAAAGTCTAACACTGTACAAGCCTTTAAAAAAAAAAAAAAAAAAAAAAAGTAGTATAAGAGTATAAAAAGTTATGTTTTGAAAGATCTAGAGCTATGGAATGAATGAATTATGCATTATTTTAGTTTATTTATTTATTTATTTTTTATATTCTGTCTTAAGTTGTAAGTGAAATTGTAAACGCAAACTTGCTCTTCATATGCTGTTTTCTTTCTTGTAATTCTGCCATTGTACAATAGTGTTTGGCATTGTAAGTACTTTTTACTTCAGCCTAAACCCTTTTGGTCATGATCCATGGGTTTGTAGTCTGTTTTGTTTTGTTTTGTAGTGCTGCAAAATGACCAAATAAAAAACTACTACTAAAAAGACAAAAAAAAAAAAAAAAAAAAAAAAAAAAGCACATTACAGGCTTTGCGGGGGCCCCCTCCTTGCACTGGGCCCTAGGTAAACATTCCCATTATTCCCCTTTATCCGAACGCCCCTGATCATTACAATAGTACTTCTCACTGTGCAAACTTTGATTAGCTTGGGTCCACAGCAGTTCTTTACCGATACAAAGTGATTTCCCTCTTGGTAAAAAGTAGCCGTGAGGGTTACATAATGACATGTACTCTTCAGTGTGTTTGAGAGGGGAGCAGAGGTGAGAGACGAGATTATGCTAGTGCTGTGTCATTAGCCAGGGGCCCCGCTGGTCCCCGGAGGAGCATCCCACAGAGAAGAGAGGGAAATCAGGACACACCCAGAGCAGGGGCCAATGGGGGTCTCTGTGATTACACTGTGCATGTACTGAACATCCCCTACCGCCCCGGCACACATAATTGCCACTATTAGTACGATGTTTGCGAGTAGAGTACAAAAAGTTAGTCAGAACATGTAAGTTTGATCTGGTTTGAGTTTCTGGGTGTGATTAAACTGGAAACGTTCTTTTACCACTTTTTCATTTAAGGCGCATTGTCTAACTTTTCTGGTCAAACTCTTTTCTCCACGAAGATTTTATTTCTTAGTCTGGAATGTTTCACAGTATGGTATTAAACTTTTCTATCACCATGGAGACCAAACCAAACCAAGTTACTGTTCAGACCTGTGGAGAGGCGACTCCGCTCACAGTCAAAATGAGTGTTTTTGAGCTATAAAACCACCTGTAATTGAATAAATATGAGGTAGACTATTTAATTTGAAGGCGTTGTGTGAGGTGTATAATGTGGCAGAACTTGAGTCTCTGCCCTAGTATAACTTACAACTAAACAACTGAAGAAAAACAAAACAAACAAAAAAAACATACCTACCAGTGATGGAAGTGACATTTACATTTGGAATCCAGTTTAATATTGTCACCAGGTGCACTAGTCATTTTAGTCAGTAGTTAGTTTTGTGGATATTTATTCCCAGTGGGGGAATGTGACAATGTAAAAGTACTGTATACATGAGTATACAAGTATACATTTTAGGTATCTGTACTTTACTTAAGTACTTTTTACTCCACAATAACACATCCATAGTTTCATAGAGCAAACACAGATATACAAATAAAAACAGCTAAGAAAAAATATAAATTATATTGTTTGTGTTTAGCAGTACAATTGAATGTTTATAAGATTTCAAATTCTTTAGGTACATTTTTAAGTGGGTACTTTAATACTTCTGCTTAAGTAGATTTTTCATGTGATACTTTTACTTATTTATTATTTATTTTGCTTCAGTATCTGTACTTTCACTTAAAGGTGCATTGTGTAATTTTTCAGTTAGAGGGTCAGTTAAGCATTTTTACTTTGTCTGGAATGTTTCACAGTGTGGTATTAAACCTTTCTATCTTCATGGAGACCAAACCAGACTAAGTTACAGGTCAGATCTGTGGAATGCCTGGTTTTTTTAGGCATTTTTGAGCTGTAAATCCACCTGTAATTGAATAAATGTAATGCACAGGTGTTTAATGTCATACTGTGGAACATTCCAGGCAGAGCACTGACATCTCCATAGAAACAAGCAGGTGATGGACTGCCGACAAAAAAGTTACATAATGCACCTTTACGTAACAGAATGGAGTACTTCTTCTATCTGTTTATTCCTCCAAATAAGAATGAGAATACATTTTATTGCTATTATCAGAGAACAAAATTTTAGGCACTTGCTTTCGCATTATTTCCCTTTATTATGTTTTATTACTTTGACAAGATCTTTCCAGTTTGACCTATTACCAACTGTGATAAAGGTTATAAGTCGTGATCTTATTGTTTTGTTCTCTCATTAACCACATTTGCTTATCACCAAACTGCTTTTGTGTGTTTCCTTACCTCCCCCTGTGTCCCTTTCTCTTCTGTACACTGTTATACTGTTATAGAAGTATGTGTACGTAGAAGTATATTGATGCGAGTTGTGTGTTTGTTTTGTGTGTGTGCAGTTTGTACAGTGCGCTGTCAGAAGTTCCTGATCTCGCGCGTCGGGGAGGACTGGATCTTCCTCATCCTGCTGGGCCTGGTCATGGCTCTGGTCAGCTGGGTCATGGACTATTGCATCGCCATCTGTCTGCAAGGTGAGCACATGGTCTTATACTGAGAATGTATGAAATCTGTCATGAATGTAACGCATGGATATAACAATTAGGGATGCAACAGTAGCTGAAATATCATGATATTGTATCGTCAAAAGTCTCACAATGATATCCTGGACTGTCACAAGATATCGAATTACAGCTCTCTCTGTTTAAATGAATAGTTATAGTGCAGCAATGTAGCTAAAAACAGAGAGAAATACTTAGACCATGATCCTTTGCTCCATTTCATTGCACATTACTAGTACCGTATTTTCCGGGCTATTAGGTGCACTCTTAAGCCTCTAACCCCCCAAAAAAACGACCGCGCGCCCCGAAATCCAGAGCGCCCCATACACAAATTCCACTCGAGTGTCCCAGCACGACTTCAGTAAACTACAAAGCCGCACCACCCGCAGCGCACGCAAACACACACCGAGCAGACAGCGACCACACAGTGAAAACACACCCGCAGACACACTCATCTCTCCACGCCGACGAGGAACAGAACGGAGGAACAAACCAAAAAAACTAGTCCAATGTGCCACTCTAAGCCACAATTAAACAACCGAGTCACTGCGAACTCGCCAACATTGTACCATTTTTGGTTCTAAAGTTCCATACGTTTTAAACAGACCATGTATGAAACATGGAACAAAAATTATTTCCCAAATTTCAAAGACCTGCAAATCATGTAAATAAATGGATGTATTTCATCATATCTTGTGTTATTCCATCTTTGAACTGTTGATGAAGGTACATGATTTAAAAAAAAAAAAGTTTTTAAAATGATAAAAATTTTCTTGGAAGGACTGACATATTTTATAGAAATATTTTCTTTTCATTTTGAAGTAATATTAAAGTATTCGGAAGAAAAAAGCTGACAGATGATGTAAAATCCTGCACCTTCTACTTACTTGCACAATTTTCCCTCCGTTACTTTTCCCTCCGTTACCATGACCTTTCTTAATAAAAAATCTCATGACTCAAAAAGTAAGAGGTTTTTCAACCTAATCTTGTACCATATGGTAGAAAACTATATGAAGCAAATATTCAAACCAGTTTGTTAAGGATATGTAAGTGAGAACCAAGAGTTATCACTGTTTGTATTTATTGCCCAAAAAGTGCTGCATATTTCATTCCCTCCATTACTGACATGAGTTTTTTAAATTTTTTGTCAACAACTTGAAAGAATATGACAGGTTTAACTTGACCCTGTTGGAGTGTAACTCTTTCCTACATTCTGATACTTTACTTATTTCAATAGTCCCTCTAGTTTCTGAATAAGAGACATTTGAATGTAAAAAATCTGCCCTGTTTCCCTCCGTTACCACTTGACCGGACCCATGAGTTCCAAGTACTGCAGATGTATTTTAAGAGTGTAACAGGAGAGAGACATGCCCATCACTGGAGTAACTGGAGAGTGCACAGCTCACATACGTCTGTACACAGATCTAGCTCCACACAGACGGTTGATTGACTTTTTGAAGTTTAGAAAACAACAATTCACCTTCAAGACTGAATTATAAAACCATGCTTTCAGCGAGTTAGAAAGTTGTAGCGGTGGGTTTACTGAAAAGCTGGATAGACATATTTGTAAACCTCCAAATACCAACTTCAAACTGTGAAAGTCCACAGTCTGCCAGATATGAAAGTCCACAGAGGTTGTTCTACTTTGTGAATCTGCAGATATTCTACGCCCGAGGAGCTGGACTCTTTCAGACAAACTGCTCAACAGCACCAAGTATGAAAGACAGGAAATAGTATTAGAAGAGAAAACACATCCAGCTCAGAGGGAGCGGAGGGACAGGACGGAGGGTAAGTGTGGGAAGAGTAGAGATGAGTGAGGAGGGAGAGAGGGGGAGTGGGTGCGAGAGGAGTTAGAGAGAAGGAAGAAAATAAGAAAGTTGAAAGAGAAAGAGGATGAAGAGATGGAAGGAGGGATGGAGGAAGAGAGAGTAGGGAGAAAGGAGGACGACAAAAGGAGTTAAAGTGGAGAAAGAAAGAAGGACGAAGAGGAGGAGGAGGGAGAAAGGAGGAGTGAGAGAGGGAGAAGGAGGGAGGGTGAAAGGAGAGGCACAGGGTAAGAAAGGTGGAGAAAGAGGATGAGGAGGGAGAAGAGGGGGAAAGAGGAGAGAAAGGGAGGAGATGGAGGAAGGCAGAGAGGAAAAGAGAGTAGGGAGAGAGATGGAGGAGGAGAGAGAGGGGATAGGAAAGGAGGAAGACAAGAGGAGTTAGAGCGGAGTGAGAGAAAGATGAAGAGGAGGAGGGAGGAGGAGAGAGGATGAAGAGACTAGGGAGAGAGGAAGAGGAGAAGTGGCGAGAGAGAGAAGGATGAAGAGGAGAGAGAGAGAGGAGGCAGCAAGAATGAGATGGAGAGAAGAGGAGGGAGAGAGGACTTAGAGAGGAGGAGGAGGAGCAAGCACAGGGTAAGAAAGGTGGAAGAGAAAGAAGAGGCAGGGAGGAGAGAGGAGAGGAAGAGAGTGGGGAGAGAGGAGGAGGAGAGGGGATAGGAAGAGGAGGAAGACAAGAGGAGTTAAAATAGAGAAAGATAAATACGAAGAGGAGGAGGGGAGAGAGGAGGAGAAAGAGGAGGCAAGAGGAGTTGGAGAGGAGGAGGAGCAGGCATAGGGTAAGAAAGGTGGAAGAGAAAGAGGATGAGGAGGGAGAAGAGAAAAGGAGGAGATGGAAGGAGGGATGGAGGAACTCAGAGAGGAAGAGAGTTAAGATTAAGAGAGTACTGAGAGAGAGAATAGGAAATGAGGAAGACAAGAGGAGTTAAAGTGGATAGAGAAAGAGATGGATGGAGAGGAGAGGAAGAAAGGAGGAGAGAGAGAAGGAGTGAGGAGGACTTAGAGAGGAGGAGGAGGAGGAGCAGGAGCACAGGGTAAGAAAGGTGGAAGAGAAAGAAGATGAGGAGGGAGAAGCGGTGGCAAGGAGGAGAGCGAACAAGAGAGGGGGGGATAGGAAAGGAGGAAAACAAGAGGAGTTAAGAGTGGCGAGAGAAAGAGCGAAGGACGCGGGAGGAGGAGGAGGAGGGAACCTTGGAGTAGATTGAAGAGATGGCAGTTGGATTTAAAAAGAGATGATGTGAACAGAGGATTTGTGGGTAAGCCCTGAGTCCAGGAGCAGGACTCACCGGTGAGATGAAACCTTGGAGCACTGACACTAATTCAAAAGGATTTCCAGTCTTCAGTCTGTGTGTGTTTAAGCTCCTCTCAAGGTGAAGCCAACCTAGTCACGTCTCTACCGTTATTAGGACGCCTTTAATTTGATTCTAAACAACAGTCATACCCATTATAACGTAAACACCACACTGCAAAACTACGTCCAAAGGCAGTCGTATTATAGACACGTAGTTTATTCTTTTCTTCTCTCCTCCTTACAGTAAATTCCAATAACAATATCATGTTTTAGCAGTCTTATACGAGGAAAATAGTGTTGTCACGATATTAAAAGCTCAAACTCTATTGCAATACTAAAGAGTAAACTCGATGCTCAATACTGCGTCTGATATCACAATGATTATTAAAAAACACACTTTCTTTAAACCTAAGAATGTCATTTTCAACTTTAAATACTAGTACTTTCTTATATATTGCCTTGTATCTGTGTAATATCCCTCAGTGGTCCAGGTAGGTTCCATAGTTGTCCATGGGTGTAAACTATAGAGCTCCGGGAGCTGACGTCATACCGGCTCGTCAGGCACAAGGTGTCGCCATTTTGGCAGTAATCGGCAGATCGGCTGACTCGCGCTGTACGACTCCAGCGCAATAACAGATTGTTCTCCAGACGCAGCCGAGATTCATTTCCGAATTATTTTGCCAACAATTTTCCAATACAGATAATGTAATACACAAAGATCAGAGCAAGAACCAATGTGCGAACGTGTGGCTCCAAAGTAGCAAACAGCATTTGTTATTTTAGGCTTATAATTAACAAATAATTTTATGGAAATAGGCAATAGCTTATTCAATTGATTCAACTTTAAAAATGTCCTGCTTTTAGCCTAGTGTGAGAAATGCTACAGTCGGACTAGATCCAAACCAGAGTCCTGAACCAGCGGGAGAAGCTCCGGTTCAGGCCGGGCTCAGAGGAGCTGGAGCGGGGAGTGGTGTCAGGAGCCTTGGCCTGACAAGAACGTTCCCCAGGAACAAAGAGCGCGGAGGTCGGACGCTCAGAACAACATATAACCCACCAAACTATTCACGCTTCTGTCCGGATGCTTTGCATCACCTCGGAACCAGCCGCAGTTCTTGACCGCCGGAGCGAACTGTCCAGACCTGTAGTCCACAGTGCATTCTCGCTTTTCCCGCACGGAACCAGCGTGCAGACGATGACACAGAACAGCTCAGACCCAGCCCATCAAGCACTGGTCTTGCTCGCTACCGTCTGGAACCAGCACATGGAGGACGGGGCCTCCGGACCAAGGACCAGACCGCAGACCCCGTCCTGAGGGATCTGAGCTGCGGTGAGGGCTCCTCTTTATCGCTGTTGCTGCTGCTGTTACCCGTGCTTTTGTGTTTTACGAGTTCTTGAGATGAGGATGTCCCGTGGTCTTAACAGGGAACATCGGTGTTGATAATTGGAGGTATTGCTGTTCTACCAGGAAACAGAGGCATGTCAATCGGACCAATTTTGGTTCATTTGGCGATGTTCTGCGGATCTGGGACGTCTTCTTCAGCGGAAATATTTGTAAAAAACACCCCCGGGGCATTATACGGTCAATGTTTAATCCATTTAATTTTGATCTGAAGCTCAATGTCTTGTGAATTAAAGTGAGTACTCCGATGGCTTGAAAAATTCAGCGGTGGCGCTATCCATTTTTACTGCCAAAATGGCGGCCCGCCCACCGTGAGTCACGTGGGGTCCGGAGCTCTATATACAGTGTGGTGGAGTAACGGATTACATGTACTGGAGTTACGTAATCAGAGTACAAATTATGAGTAACTGTATTCAGTTACAGTTACTCTTTCCAAGAGTGGCAATTGGATTACAGTTACTTTGCTGAAATAAATAGATTACATGGTGGTATTTTCCAGTTTTTACATTTTGGGCTAAACCAGGACTAAACCCAGGACTAAACCCAGGACTAAACCCAGGTCTAAACCAGGTCTAAACCAGGTCTAAACCAGGTCTAAACCAGGTCTAAACCAGGACTAAACCAGGACTAAACCCAGGACTAAACCCAGGACTAAAACTAAACCAGGACTAAACCAGGACTAAACCAGGACTAAACCACTAAACCAGGACTAAACCAGGTCTAAACCAGGTCTAAACCAGGTCTAAACCAGGTCTAAACCAGGACTAAACCAGGACCAGGTCTAAACCAGGTCTAAACCAGGTCTAAACCAGGTCTAAACCAGGTCTAAACCAGGACTAAACCAGGACTAAACCCAGGACTAAACCAAGTCTAAACCAGGTCTAAACCAGGTCTAAACCAGGTCTAAACCAGGTCTAAACCAGGACTAAACCAGGTCTAAACCAGGTCTAAACCAGGTCTAAACCAGGACAAAAACAGGACTAAAACAGGATTTAACAGGACCATGCGGTGCGGACCTTGTCTCCTCTTCTTCTATCAATCATATTTTTAAATCAGTTAAGGAAAGACTTGGCTTTTCATTTTCTTTTAGCAGACAAAACTTCTTATGTGAAGATTTCCTCGTCTTTGCTTCTCTACAGCAAATCAAGTAATCCAAAGTATTCAGATTACGTTACTCACTTTAAGTAATTTATTGGATTACGTTACAAACTACATTTTGGGATATGTAATCTGTAATCTGTAGGGGAATACATTTTAAAAGTAACCTTCCCAACACTGACTATAAACTATACTTTGTGCTCTTATACTTGTCCTGCTCAAGATCATTCTAAAGAAATTCAGGTTCATTTCTCTCCCTGTGAAATGTGAAATGTGAAATCTAGTTTCAATATTAGTTTTAGTATCAATTAGTATCTGATTTTCTAAATGTTTGACAACCCTCATGTAGACTGTAAAAAGTGCAGAATTATCACAATAACAATTATCCAATTTCAGCAAGCTTCTTTTTTCCCCATTAACTTGATTTGTTGTATTAGTTTTGTGTTTTAGCTTGTAAACAAATGTTGAATGAAAAAAGTTTCATCATATTAACTAAAGTAGATAAGTGGTCAGATATGTATATTAAAAAAAAAAAAAAAAAGACAATACTGCAGTTGTTGCTTTGGAGATATGCAAACTTAGAATATCAAGTACATTGTCTAATAAAAAAAAATATAAAAAAAAGTAAAAAAGCAGCAATGACAACAACAAAAAACTGTTAAAAATATAAATTATTAAGAAAAAATAAAAGTAACTTGCATCTCTTGATACAAAGTAATATCTGTGTACTTTTTGTGGTAAATACATTTTGTGCAGTATACTTGAACCTCAATCCATTACAATTACAGGCAAATTTTGTAGTTTTATATAATGTAATCTTAGAATAAGTGCATGCTTTTGACTATCGCTGTGTGTTGTCTCCACAGCTCAGAAATGGATGTACGGAGGTTTGGACAGTAACGTTTTCCTTCAGTACCTGGCGTGGGTCACCTATCCTGTGGTCCTCATCACCTTTTCAGCTGGATTCACTCAGATCCTCGCCCCACAGGCTGTCGGTACGTCAACACAACACTCAGCACGCTCTCCTACTTACACTTCCTGAATCTGTCCACTTTTAATCTGTTCAGTTCATGGGATTCAACAGATAATCCTATGTTCTGTCAGTCACCATTGCACTGTTTCTCCTCTACTCAAATACATTTAAAATCTGCACCGAAAAGGAAGTTTCTTTATGTTTTGAGACCTGCTGAAATGGCTGAGACTTTATTTATTTTTTAGCACATTTAACATTCAAATTTTGAGCACACCAATTACACAAATACACAGAAACGGTTAGAAAAATTAAGAAATCAGTTGAATCACTTAAAATTTGCTCAATTCGTTTTCAAAATCTCTACATTTCATCTTTTAATTGTGCTAAAAATCTTAGCAAAATACTCTTAAAGTACATTTTTAAACAGATATTTTAATGCCTTTTTCATGTGATACTTTTACTTTTACGTAAGATGACCTTTTTTTTTGTACTTTTATTTAAGTAACAAAATGGAATACTTCATCCACCACTGCCCCTAACAGAAAAGACTTTGTGCGGCTAGAATAAATAGTGTTATTCTTTTATTATTGTCCAAGGTGGATTGTAAAAATTGCCTTGTGTGCATCCAACCTCCAGCTCGGACTCTGTGCCTGGTTCTGGGGCCCTTGGTGGTTGTGCTTTTCTCTGGGGGCCCCTCTGCTGCAGTATTCAATAAGAGCCCTGATAAAAAAAAAAAAAAGCAGCCCTTTCAAAGTCACGGCCGGTACATTGTTTTGGTGTGTCCCTGACTCTCATCAGCTCTATTCATCCTTCGGTGTGCTGTCACATTCACTGACACGGGCTGAAGAGACGAGAGAGCTTTGAAGTATCAAACTATATCCTTCTATATCTACTATAGAGTCACGGCTTCACTAAACACAATGTACAAAGGAAAATACACACATCCTCACACATCCTTCTATTTCTATCTAAACCTATTTGTAAACTATACCTTTAAAAGTGAAAAAGAAAAAAAAAAGACTTGGAAAATGTCTACTCTGTAATTAATGTCACTAATTACACAATACTAAAACTTAAAACGCTATTTCGATACTAAGGAATAGACTGGATACTTAGAACGTACACAAAGATAATAAAAAACATTCTTCCCTTCTTTTTCAATTCTATCTTAAAGGCCAGCACACACTACAGGAGAATTTGCTTGGTTTTGACTGCGATTTGTTTCTCCTTGAGTTTGGGGATCCGTGACCTGACTTTGTGTCTTCATGTGCGATTTTGAAGCGGCTGCGTTCCCCGTGTGTGTGGTGTCGGTGTGACGCTGAGCTGTTCTGTCAGATCATAACCCGCAAACATCAGCAGCGCTACGGTAACAGCCGATAAAACAGATAGTCAGGGGAATAAAGTGACGGACAAAGAGACGCAAGATATAAACTCAGGAAATAATTTGTACTGACCTCGCGAAAAGTTGTAAATTTAAAGTGCAGCAAGTTCACATTATTCATAGAATTTGTCCTCTGTAAATAATGACCCCCAATCCACAAAACAGCGCTGTTCATCCAGTTTGAAACGTTCTTTAAAAGTAAAAATGAGAGAGTAGTTCCTCACGTGTGTCTGTTTACATCCACACAGCGCTTGGATCGAGGTGAAGCTGCAGATTGGTGATAGTGACTCTACTTTCTGTGGACTTTATCGCAAGTCTTTTATGCCCTAAAAATCATGTATTTGAAGTTTTGCACCACATTTCACAAATAATACTCTGCTCTGATCTTTTGAACACTTAGTCTCAAAGCGAGTGGTTTTACTGTAGACAGGAAACAGCTGACATGATCGCGCTCACAGCTTTGCAGCCTGCGCTCCACAGACATGAAGTCTTTGCGATCGGAGATTTAAAATCTCATAAGATTCTCTTCGTGTCTGTGGTGTGCGCTTTTTGTCGCATGTTTAAAAATCGTTTTAGACCGAAAAATCCTGTAGTGTGCGATGGCCTTTAGACAATAGGATGTGATTTTCAACATTAAAACGTACTGCTTTCTTTTATATTACCTTGAGTCGTCCAGGTAGGTTCCATAGTGGTCCATGGGTGTATAACTAGTCTCTGTGCTCTTATACTTGTTCTGATACAGCTCGGGAAAGGTTCATTTTTGTCCTGTGAATGTGACTTTTTAATATCGATACCTGTTCCAACAAGTAGCTAGTTTTGAATCTAGTTTTAGTATCTGATTTTCGATATTTTTGACAATCCTACTCTGCTAAAAACTGTACAATTTCAGTAACCAGTGTTGAATAGAATATGTAATAAAGATACACATTTTTAGTTACTGTATTAGTATTAGTATCTACTACAACTACTCATCTCCTACAATACAAAAGGAGAAAGAATAGTTATCTGGACTTTTTAATGGAGAAAAAGAAATGAAACTACTTTTAAAAACTTTGGTATAATTAGTTATAAAATTCCAAGTTTCCATTCTGATCCTGTGTTTGGTACTGCTCCCTGTAGTATACTATGAGTCATTTTGTCCCTGAGCATAACTATTCACCCACTCACTTCCAACAAATGTGGCTGGTGGTGACAGAAAATTGAGAAACACAACACACACACACACACACATATGTTTAATGCCCCACAGTGGGACATTCCAGGCAAAGCACAAACAATCCATGCAACTTCCATCAGAAAAGTAATGGTTTAATTTTCACTCCTGTTTGTATTTTTAGGCTCCGGTATCCCTGAAATGAAGACCATCCTGAGAGGAGTAGTGCTAAAAGAATACCTCACCTTCAAAACATTTGTGGCCAAAGTGATCGGCCTGACCTGTTCTCTGGGCAGTGGGATGCCTCTGGGAAAGGAGGTAAGGACACTATACTGTCCTCTGTACTTCTGTGTGTACTCTGCTCAATGTACGTGTGTGGGTGCATAATCATCTGTACACATACTCAATTTATAGTACTTTACATTCTTAAAATCAGGCCCCTGTGAAGTAATCCCTTTATTATTAGTTCAGTAACATAATTTAAAGATACAGTATGTAAGTTTCTGGTTGTGGCCTGTCTCCTGCATGATTCCATGGAAATAGAAAGTTAAAACTGTACTCTGGAATATTCTCCCTAAAGATAAATAGATTGTTTGCCATGAGGTGGGAGATTGTTGCCAAAGGAACAACATTTCCCTGGAAATAAGCAGAAAGAGCCCCTCCTTTAGACCAGGTAAGAGTCAGGATTGTGGAGATGCAAGCCCACTCACAGTAAGGATTTTTTTGTGTGCAATTAACACAGCCTCTTCCCTTATTTTAGTCTGTTTTTGATGAAAAAATAACATACTGTGGCTTTAAAGTTCAAATATGGGATAAATTGAGGAAATAAAGGTTAGTCAGCTGCTCACTATGCAGGGTTCCCACAGTCATGGAAAGCCTGGAAAAGTCAAGGAAATAGAAAATGTAATTGATCATGCCTGGAAAAGTCATGGCATTTTGTAAATTCAATGAACATTTTGGAAAAGTCATCTTTTTCACGCAACTACAGCGTTCTGTTAAGTTATCATTAGGCTATTATGATTATTTCTAAACATTTGTACCTTTTGAGATGATAATAAATGCACCGATAATATTCTGAATGTTAAAAAACTATAATATCATACCATAAATTGAGTGGAAAGGGTTAACATTCATTCTAGATTTGTTCATTATAAATATTTGCTTTTAGTTCCAAGATCTAAAATGGATGGTTTTAAAAAGAGCTTCATGCAGCTGCTATCATATATATGAATAAATTGTAATCTATTTATCTATCGATTTTAGTACATTGTCTTGGAAAAATCATGTGTTTTTTATATATTTAAAATTTATTGTGATCTTAGCCAAGTGTGATGGATGAATTTAACTGTAAATGGAACAAAGCCATTCTGCACTGGAGTATTGTTAACACTTTATTTTGTAATTGTGTTTTTATACGTACTTATAGGCGAGTTTCAGCTGACGTCATTGTTATTAAAAGCCCGCGTTGCATGCTGGGAAATATTTTGGTCGGAGGCAAGAAACAGGATAGCGGTCAAACACAGTGCGTAACCTCGCGTATTTATCCCCGATAATGGTAAATTCCTGCTGCATTATCGGATGCACAAATAGAAGCACGGAAGAAGGAAAATGTCTTTTTCGTATTCTGAGTGAAAAGAACCGTTAACGGTGAATTAAACGGCTTTCAAACATCCGCAGAGCAAACGTAGAAGATCCTAACAAACCGTGGACTCCAACAAGTTCAACAACACATCGAGACTCTTGGAGGTTTTCATCTTTTCTGCTGTGAATGGCCCAGGAGTTTCCACCAAGTCATTGTGGATATCGCCCAAGTGAATATTTGACCAGGTAGTTGGCGATTCCGACCAGAAATTTGGTTTTGTCTACGCTTTGTAGGGGTTGAAAAGGGTGATTTGGCGTCCATCGATCCTCTGCCGTTACAGTGGATAAATAACCGGGATCAATACCCTTTACGTGATTTCTCGCTCTGTCCGTCATGTTGATTTAGTGTTTATTGCCGCCGACCAAAATAATTCCCAGCATGCAACGTGCGCTTTTGTCAACAGTGAAACTCGCCTATTGTGCACAATGTGGATGAATGAAATGTGCAATATGGGACCTGCCACTCAATTCTACAAAACAAATTTACCTACGGGTACGAATAAAGCAACCTAACTTAGCATTTCATATTTAGCCCTAAAACTATGCTCAATTCTACACATGTAGGTGCCGTAAAGTCATGAAAAATTCACTTTAGATCGTGAAAAAGTCATGGAAAAGTTCTGAAATGTTCTTAGTGAATTAGAGTGGGAACCCTGACTACAGATACGGTCATAATCAGTCTTCAGGAAAATGAATGCAAGTCAATGTGATGTCCGGAAGACGCATTTGTGTGTATGTTTATGTGTGTATGTGTGCGTGTGTGTGTGTCCTGGGTTACTGAGAGGGAAAGATGTAGTGACGCACAGGACACACTTTGTTTAATCAATGGCTCAATCAATAATGTGCCTTGTGCGATTAAAGAGGAAGTGGACAGGAAGTGCCTTGGCTGCAGGAAGAATTAAATGGAATCCACTTTAGGCATCCCAAAACCGGACAGTTGCAAAATATAAACGATGCTAACTGCAAGAAACAGCAGGACCACTATCGAAACTGAACTGTAATTTAACATAAACAAGACAAGTCCCACTATGTATTGGACTAAAGACTGAAGCGCAGCACACACACAAAGATGAATAATGGATAAAACGTAGCCCACTGGGAGCTCACCCCTCCTCTTCCCGCTCTTCCTCCTCCTCTTCCTTCTCCTTTTTGCTGCATTAGATGGAAAGAGTCCAGTGAAATCTGTAGCATAAGCACTGCTGGTTCCCCTCTGTGCTCATAGAGATAAAGTATGATATGCTGCCCCTGTCCAACTACTGTAATACAGAAAGATTCAAATAGAGATTGTTCTGTGTGTACTTAAATAAAAAGTGAACACAACAGTGAACATGTAGTGAAGTGTGGAGTAGTTACTGTAAGAAAAATGTTTGTCGTTCAACCTTAAGATGAACTTCTGTGCTTGCTGTGTGCAGAAGTCGTTTAATACGTTTAAACTGGGACTAAACACTAAATCTGTTTTTGAGAGCGCTGAGAAAAACGCTATAGAACTGTGACCATTTGCCAAGTTTATCCACCTATTTGGACTGAGGCTGCTGCTGGAGTTTAAATGTTTAGTTCCACTTTAAACTGATATATTTAGACACTTCAGATGGGAAATATAATTGACTGAAAGGTGCACTGTGCAGTTTTTTTTTTGTCTCCATGGAGATGTTATTGCTTTGCCGGGGATGTTCCATTTATTCCCACACAACAATTCCCTCTGTGAATAGGGTTGCCTCTCCACAGATCTGAATTATAAAGTAGCGTAGTGCTGTAACCTGCTTGTCTCCCTTGTGATGAATAGGTTTAATCTATACTGTGGAACATTCTAGACCAGTGGTTTTCAATAGGTGAGGTCTGCCTCTCCTGTGGGGCGCCAAAGAACCACTAGGGAGGCGCAACACACACGCGAAGAAAAAATAACAGTCCACATCTGTACACATCTGCAGCAGTGTTGGTATCAGTAACTGTGCATTTATTAGCTGTAAATTTATGTCGCCGTTCTGACAACCTACTCATAGTATGGAGCATCATCTTTTTTGCCTTGTATACGCCGCGCCTCTAAACCAGGACTAATCCCAGGACTAAACTCAGGACTAAACTCAGGACCAAACCAGGACTAAACCAGGACTAAACCCAGGACTAAACCCAGGACTAAACCCAGGACCAAACCAGGACCAAACCAGGACCAAACCAGGACTAAACCAGGACTAAACCAGGACTAAACCAGGACTAAAACCAGGACTAAACCCAGGACTAAACCCAGGACTAAACCCAGGACTAAACCCAGGACTAAATCAGAACTAAATCCAGGACTGAAAACCAGGACTAAAACCCAAGATTTAAAGCCAGGACTAAAACCCGGGACTTAAAGCCGGGACTTAAACCCGGGACTTAAACCCGGGACTTAAACCCGGGACTTAAACCCGGGACTAAAACCCGGGACTAAAGCCGGGACTAAAGCCAGGACTAAAGCCAGGACTAAAGCCAGGACTAAAACCAGGACTAAACCAGGACTAAATCAGAACTAAATCCAGGACTGAAAACCAGGACTAAAACCCAAGATTTAAAGCCAGGACTAAAACCGGGACTAAAACCCGGACTTAAACTGGGACTAAACCCGGGACTTAAACCCGGACTTAAACCGGGACTTAAACCCGGGACTTAAACCCGGGACTGGGACTAAAGCCGGGACTAAAGCCGGGACTAAAGCCAGGACTAAAATCAGGACTAAACCATGCCGTGCAGTTTAGACCTTTCTAGAACCCCTGTTCTAGACAAAGCAATAACATTTCCGTGGAGACAAGCAGGTGACGTACCCTTCACTATGTTACACAGTGCGCCATAAAATTTGAAATAACCTTTTCCAAAGAATGTATTGTATTGAATCTTCAGATTAAGCATATGTTCCTTCATTGTAGTTATCCTCACACAAGATTCTATTTACCAGTTTGTATTTATTTGATATGGACAAAGCAATTAAATCAGACAAACCAGATGCATTGTTTCACATGTGATGACTAAAGAAATGCTTTCAACATCTGTCCATAACTTTTTTTTTTTTAGAATTTAGGTGCATAATATTTGTGAAACTCTACATTGTGTACTGTATACTACAATATACAATATATATTTGGACCTTTTTTCATATCGGCTATTGGCCCTAAAACACCAGCACTGGCCGATATTTTGTTTTGGACGATCTGCTGCTTAAAAACTACCCTTAAAGCTTTATTTTAACACTTTAATATGAAGAGAAAAGTGTAACCGCACAGTTCCCGTATGTGTTTGTGGTAAAAGGGCTGTGGGTGAGTTAGAAGTCAATTTAAATGTCATAATATTTGAAAAATAGTCAACGTTGTCACTATGGGTGAAAAATATCGGCAGAGCTTATTGGCAATAGGAGAGTTTCAGTCGCGTGATCACGATGACGCACGAATTTCAGGTGGAGGGCAGGAAGTGAAGACAAACACGGCTCTGCAGAATACAGATTTGAAGAAGAGTTCTTATTTTAAGAATTTAGAGCCAGTAACAAGGCAAAGGTATGAGCAGTTATTTGACAAATATATTGGACGTGACACCATCTTATAAAAGTTAGTGAATTTTTGACCGAAGTAAAAGATTTGCCGACAATCGAGGCAGTGGATATCACGAACTACCTAGTTCTCCAGACATCGTTCTACACCAGACAACAGATGAAGGCGTACAAAATTTTGGAGGCAAATAACTTTTTTGTCAGTGGATGGGTCCACAACCTTGGTGCAAAACGCCTACGTGATGATTATCGTTTGGTCTTCGCCAGGTTGAGTGTTTCTCTTATTTTATGTGTATAGACTGTTGATGGAAAAAATACTGCAGTGTATCAGCAGTAACCAATCTATCCGAATTATTTAATGTCAACAAACGTCATTAGCTGTTAGTTGTTAATGGTTTGCGTATTCTGCTCCTCCCGACCGTAAACATAGGTTTGTAACCCACTTTTTACAGCGTTGTTTTGTCAGCTTTTTCCATTTCTGACCTTTGAGGACGACTATCTTCGGTATTCTAAAAAATCACTTTCCTTCTCTCGGTTAGAACGATTGGTACAGCCGTAAACTACACAACACACAGGCATTTTCCAGACAAATACGCAACAGTATTTAATAGCTTCCTCCAGTCAGTTCACTTCCTGCCCTCCATCTGATTTCGCTTGCTGACAAACGTAGCCCTGTGACGTCACGTGAAACCCAGCTATTGGCTGCTCTGGATTCTGAACAATCAGTATCGACATCGGCTATGAAATACACATATCCGCTGATCTCTACTGGATTCACACTGTTTTGGTACAAGATCTGGACGGAGAAAATGCATCAAACTTTTGCCAAGTCAGTCTGAACATTACAGAGTTATTCGAGACATGTGATTTGCTGTGGCGACACCGATCCACACAATCTGAAATGAAACAGCAGCTGTAGAAGAATAAATGTACTATCGTTTATATTTTGCACTAACAGCAGTACATGTATGATTGTTCTTTGGGCTTCTGTCACCTCGGCTCTTGTCTGCTTGTCTGTTTGACTGACTGTTCTCCTCCATCAGTCTCACTTCAGTACATTCACTGTCTGCACACTCACTTCACATCATTATCAGCTATCACAGACCACTCTGCAGTCTCCGGGCTGTTAGCGCTGCTTGTCATAATGCTTGTTTTAAACCATGTAATTCACTTTTACATCAAGCTGTTGCCGGGTAGAAGTACAAGACCTCATTCCTGTTCCAATTCCAATTTCTTATTCTGAGTATTTCCACAGCACGTTGGTTCTTACCTTTATACTTCCACCGTGTTACCGTCTTACCATCTTGTCGATGCCCAATCTCATCTGATCTGGGAAGCTAAGCAGGATTGGGCTTGGGCCTGGTTAGTTCACAGATGGGAGACCACTGGGAAGACCATGTGCCGTAGTGTTGCAGAGAAGCCATAGCTCTAGTCAAGTGCATACTGTCATTGTATCCTTTGGCAAGACACTTCACCCACCTTGCCTAGAATAAATATAGTGTATGAGTGAGGGATGGCAAATAAACGTAAACAAATGTGCACACAGCTGTATTAAACACATTATTACTCAACGTATATTGAAAGAAAGGAAAGCAGAGTACAGGAAATGTATGTAGAGCGATGGTAGAGACGACCAATCACAGCCCTGTGTTGTCTGCGTCGCTTCCCCTGCTGTTTGCATCATTTTGGCGCGTAGTTCTGGTTCAACGTCAAATCATCGATGCTGGTATGATGTAAGTTTCTGTCATGTTTGCAAATGTTCATGTGCATTGAATCTTGATTTGAAAAAAAAAAAAAAAAACGTGGATGGAATTTGAAATCTAAATCGTAATATCTACCCGAAAGATAGGAATTCATTTTTTTTCTTAAAATTGCTCAGCCTTAATCATGAGGCAAACTAACAATCATTTGTCTTACATCATGTCAAATTTCTAAATCTTATACAAAAGAAATTGTAATTGACAAACAAATAAAAGTAAAGATTGAATGAAAATTAAAGCTGTAACTGTTAAAGGTCCCATATTCCTAACTGACTTTCATGCCATTTTGTTACCTCATCAAAAACATACCTGGAGATGTGTTTTGTTTTTTTTCACACATGAGTAATCCTTTATTATTACTCTGTCTAATTCTCCAAAGCTCAAAATGCTCTGTTCCACCTTGACGTCATGAAGCGGCAGTTTTCAAGATACATTTTACCTTTTGTTCAGTAGGGTTTGTCAGTTCAAGGGCTGAAATCATTGTCTGTTTTTGTGTGCTTTCTGTATGCTATTTTTATGCTTTTTGTATTTTTCATTGCTGCTTTTACAGCACTTTGTAAAACTTGATTTAAAGGTGGTTTATAAAGAAAGATGTATTATTATTAAGATTGGACAGAGTGTTTCTGTTTGAGAGAAGAACTCGTTTGAATGAATCGTAAAACAACTCCAGGTCTGTTTGTGATGAGGAAACTACATTATAACACAGATCAGAAAATGGTGTAATATGGACCCTTTAACATCCTTGATCAGGATTTTATATAACTGTAAATTTATTATAACCTTGCAATTTTGATAGTGATGAACCATTTCTATTTAAGATGGCGTAACATGTGAGAGAATACCATACTGTCAAATACTATTATGTAAAAAGTGTCTTCAAGTACGTGCTCCATCAATGACATCATTCTGTAATATATCACATTAACGGAAGTCCAACTGTTCACATCATTTCCATTTCATGAATTGCAAATGATTCTTCAAATTACAAAAGGCCAAAGTTCCCGGTCCGTACTGAGAATGAGGCTAGGACCCCCGTTGGGAAGAGCGCTACATAGATTAAAACGGGCCCCCTGTATATTTGAACCGCGCAGATGTTCTAATCATCTGCATTTGCTTGTTTGTGTCTCTCAGGACGAGTGTTGTGAATACAAAATGTGTTATTATTTCAGCCTTTAAGCCAAAACAGTGGAGCTGGTTCGGCGTTCCCAAAAGACTCGATGCCTGAAGAGATTCGTGCAAATGTGTTAAAAGTTTTTGTGCTGCAGTAGCCCGCATTGCTCCACTTCCATTAAGTACAGTAGCTCTCTCCTCATGCTCTCACTCTAATCCTGTTAGCTCCACTTGAAACTTTATCTGAGTTTTAATATTCACACCACTCCTCTGTTCTTTTCAATGCCAATAAGATCCTGCTTTGAAAATACGGCAGGTGCAGTTCAAATAAAGATTCAAGTCCCTATTCTGGCATATCGAGTAGCTGATACCCATCTCGTAATCTTCTTCTATATTACACAAAAGTAACTCTTGTGAGCTTTAAGACATGTTATAATGCTGTTTTCTGAGAGGAACTCAGTCTAAATATGCAGGGTTTGTGTGTTAAACATGTGTAAATGAAACAAAATACAACTCCAGGTATGTTTTTCTTGAGGAAATAGTATAACATTGATCAGAAAACAGGGTAAGATGGGCTTTTTTAAAGAGGTTGTTGTCAGGAGTTTTGGTAGGGACTTTGTGTTAAGTTTAGTCCCCACAATTCTCAGGTTCTTCAGTGTCCCCCATCTGTCTAAAACATTGTTTCCCAAAAACTGGGTCACAACCCTCAGCTGGGTCGTAGATCTGCAATATACAGTTGCGCTCTCCTCCTGCACCCTGGACTGAAACGTGCTACAAAAACACAGAGGAACCCACTTATCTCATTAGAAATGTTGAAATGTTAAGACCTGTTTGGTATAATTTCTAATCTTTGTAATTATTTTATTGACTATTTTGTTCCAGTGTTGCTGGTTAAAATTGAATGTTGAAAAGGAAAAGAATTGGGCTACATTTAATGTCCAATTAGGTGACTTAAAGATACATTTTATTGCTGGTTCAATGACTGTTTTTCATAGTTTAAAACTTGAGTAATACTAATTGTTCAGAGAGACACGATCACAATAAATCAAATCAACAATAAATCATCCTCATTCATGTTCAGTCATCGTCAAATCCACCTTTATTTTGTGATTTATGAATAATGTCTATTGATTTGGGTTGCAAAGGTTTATGACTTTTGAAAATATAAGTTCCCAGAAGAAAAGTTTGGGAAACACTGATCTAAAACATGGATAATAATCTTATCCTCCAACTTGGTACTCTGTTTCTCTCTAGATCTGAAATGATGCAGACAACTTTCCTTACAAATGAAATGTTCATATGTTGGTGACAGTGTAGCAGCTCCAGTCTCACCAACCACACACGCACACACACACACACACACACACACACACACACACACACACACACACACACACACACACACAGACCACATTCATACAAGACAAGGTGGGTGAGGTGTTTTGCCTAAGGACACAACAAAACTTTGTACTAGAGCCACTGCTACCTCAGTGTGGCACCTGAGATTTCCAGTGAAGCACTAACCACAGGCAATTTGTGAACCTAAACCTTGACTCCCCATCCCCCCACTTGTCTGTATAAAAAAATCTTGGAGTAAAATGTTGTGAGATGTGAGAATGAAAACCCAAACTTACAGGAACTAGAAACAAGCTTCAAAAGAAATGATTTAAAAAAAAAAAGCATTAAATTCCTGTTGTGTTTTGTCTCTCACAGGGGCCGTTCGTTCACATAGCCAGTTTGTGCGCTGCTCTTCTCAGCAAGTTCATGTCTTTGTTTGGAGGGATTTATGAGGTAAGTCTGTACTTTTAAGACTGAACTTAAACTGTCCATGGTTAAACTTAAAAAGGCCTCAATAGACATGCAGGTGTATGGTGAATCATACTGTTAGTTTTATCCCTAAAACTAAAGAAATCATCCTTATACATCATAGTGACATAATTTGAATATTCATATTTAAAGGTACATCACTTTTCTACCATTTACTTATCGCCATGGTGATGTTATTGGTTTCCCTGGTATGTTCCACAGGATGGCGTTACACTTACGACTCTCACGTTTATTCAATTACAGGTGCTCTGTTACTCACAAGTACTTTCACGATCATACATTCTTACTTTCTTACTGTCAGCAAGCTTGCCTCTGCACTGATCTGATTTGTAACTTAGTCTAGAGATGTAATCTGCTTGCTCTTGGAGGGAGAGAGAGAATACAGTGAAACATCTCAGGCAAAGCATTAACTTCACTGTACCATCCATTCATTTTCTTCCGCTTTTCTGGAGCCGGGTCACGGGGGCAGCAGTCTAAGCAGGGACTCCCAGACTTCCTTCACCCCGGACACTTCCTCACAGCTCCTCCCGGGAAACCCCAAAGTGTTCCCAGGCCAGCCCAGAGACATAGTCCCTCCTCCATAGTCCCTCCAGCGTGACTTGGGTTTTTCCCGGGGCCTCCTCCCAGTGGGACACGCATTGAGGCGCCCAGGAGGCATCCGGAACAGACGCCCGAGCCACCTCAACTGCTCCTCTCGACGTGGAGGAGCAGTGATTCAACTCCGAGCTCCTCCCGTGTGGCCCAGCGTCTCACCATTCTTCAGAGGAAACTCATTTCAACCCCTTGTATCCGCGATCTTGTCCTTTTGGTCATTACCCAAAGCTCATGACCATAGCTGAGGGTAGGAATGTAGATTGACGGTAAATCGAAAGCTCTGCGTTTTGGCTCAGCTCCCTCTTCACCGCAATGGTTCGGTACAGCGACCACATCACTGCTGACGCTGCACCGATCTGCCTGTCAATCTCACGCTGCATCCTCCCCTCACTCGTGAACAAGACCACGAGATACTTCAACTCCTCCACTTGAGGCAGGGACTCTCAATGCACCCGGAGAGGGCAAGCCACCTTCTTCCGGTTCGAGATCCATGACCTCAGCGCTGTAACATTATCTGCTGTCTATATGCAGTCTGACCCCCACCCCCAAGAACTACAGATGGAAATGAGCTGTTACAAGCATCTTAACCTAATACATAAATGAATAAAGGAAATGTTATATAGTGCACCTTTACCTTTGTCTCACTAAACAGCACAGGAGATTGCTGTTTAATTGTGATGACCTCAAATAAACCCTCAAATGCCTTTCAAATAACACTTGTTTTGATTCTAACTGTAAATACCAAATTTCACATGGCTTGGGATGTTGAAAATTGTTCCAAATTGCATGAAAACTCTCTCTAAAAGTGGTTACATAACAGCTTTGAAAAGAGAAAAAGCAAGAAATGTGCATGAATGATGATTGGACGTTTCTCTACAAACCCACCATCATTTATTTCACTATTTTTTAAAATAAAACTATGCTGCCCACACTTTCAGAATGCTGTCCATATTGAAATCCCTCCAGTACAATCCTGTGTAGTCAACAAGCAGTAAATCCACTTTGATAAATGTTTAAAGAACGTATTTGGTTAAAATACATGATCCAGTTTATCTTTTAAAAAACAACTTTGCCACAGAGAGATGAGATTCCGAGTAAATCTTCAAATCAGCTAAACATAAATAAGTAAAATAAAGTAAAAATGCAAGATGCAGATATGCCTTTTTGGGGGAGGGTCTTTTGGGGATGAGAGAAAGTTTTATCAGTCCTTTTAAAGCTCGGAGCCGGTTTCTCGAGGGCGGATGGCGGGTTTGAAGTGTGGAGACTGGACCCCGTGCTCGCTGCTTATCCAGATGACTTCAAACTAGTGCTATATCCATAACATCTAGAAATATTACATTTACAGCCTCGATGTACACAATCAGCTTAGTCCATCTGCGATTAAAACTGCTTGATAAAAATTAAACGCTTCCTATATAGGTTATCTTTTTTTTCTGTCTCCTCATATATTCAGATTTTGGTGGGTAATAGTTCAATCAGATGCCCTCCCAGCTGCTTTAATATTCCTTGGGACCAAAATGCTTTCAGTGTTGGCCCTTAATGGCTAAAGTTGTTATCATGAAAAGACTTTATAGGTTTTCTCTCCAGCGACTAGATCAGGAATATGAATACACTAGAGTCTAGACGGTTCGCAAAAACCCCCAGAAGCGCGAGTTCGGGCACGAGCCAATCAGCGAAGAGCCAGACATTCTATGTTGGCAATGATTCCGAGATCGAGGATTTAAAGCTTGAACGTTTGGTGAACTTTATCAAGGGGAAAGACGTTATTGCCCTTCTTCCTAAGGGATTTGGGAAAAGCTTAATATACCAGTTAGCCCCGTTGGCTGCACATTACATACGTCACGACGAAATTGCAGCGATTGGTCAAATAAAAAAGTAGCCACCTACTGTCGAGCGAACGAATCCTAATGCTGCGCGGTCAGACGGTTTCCACGAAGTGAAACTGACTGATGAATCAGGCTATTTGCCACCTGCTTCACCTGTAATGTTCCACAGTATAGCAATAAACTGATGTATTTCCATAGACACAAGCAAGTGGAGGCGGCAAATCAAGCTGCAGGTCAGATCTGTGGACAGGCAAGCTTGCTTACAGTAAGTTTGTTTGTCAGTGGATTTTGTAGTGTTAAAACACCTGAAATTTAATGAGTGGGGGATAGATATGTTTAATGACATTGTGGAACATTATATGCCAGGTGTCTCCAACATTTTTCCTCCAGTGAGCTACCTTTACAAAATGAAAATTCCAGTGAGCTACTAATTGCGGACAGAGGAAATAAAGTATACAGAAGAGCCTTGCAAGACATTTAGATGAGGTGCAGTTAGATAAAACATAAACCATAAAACATTATTTATTTATGAATGCTAGATTTACAATAATAAGCACTTAATCAAATTTGAGTTATTCAGGACAATACGTGTAATTCAGAAACCCACTGTCTACTTGGAAGGGGGTGGAGAGTTACTGGTAGCTCCTGAGCTAGGAGACCCCTGTTATAGGCAAAGCAATATCTTGCTGGATCCTCAACCAGAAAACTATATAACCTACTCTCCATTTTACAGTATTACCTCCCGACTCTCCCAAGAATTAAGATGTTAAAGGTCCTATATTATGCAAAATAGACTTTTGTGAGCTTTAAGTTTGATGTTATGATGCTGTTGCATCATCAGAAACATATCTGGAGTTGTGTTTTGTTTCATTCACACATGATTCATTGTGCAAGTTTAGCCTGTCTGTATCCTTCAAGCTCAAAATGCTGTGTTCCCCCTTGTGATGTCATGTAGTGGTAGTTGTTGTGATTTTCAAGTTCCTTTTACCTTTAGTTTAGTAGATTTCAGGGCTGAAATGATCCAAATGATTCAAGTGAAGGCGTGTATGGAGTTTAAAAACACTGTGAAGCACTTCCATTTATTTATTTATTTATTTATTTATTTCAAACCTTCACATACAATTCACATAACAACATAACAATACAGATGCAGATACAAACATGCACGGTTTGAAAAGGGGACACTTTTAGTTCTTCTAATAATCCAATCCACAAATTAACGCCACATACGTAGTTCTAAATTTCGGTTGATAACATTTTTTATTACCTCTAAGTCTGTAGTTATGATGAGCATTTCGATCTTGAAATAAATCATTTAAATTAGCTGGAAGAGAGGTGATAGACGCCCTGAACATAATTTGAGCTGTTTTAAAGTTTACCAGAGTTTTAAATTTAAGATTATTTTAAAAACAGTGGGTTTGTTGGATACAGATAATGGACTTTGTGAGCAGTCCTAATGGTTCTATTTTTGCAGTGAAATTAAAGGCAGTAAATGAGTCTTATTGCAGTTTCCACACGTCAAAACAATCATTTAAATAAGACATAACAAATAAATGATGCAATAACAGTAGTGCATTCTTGTACCGTAAATTAAATCTTGTATTACCACTTGACATCGCAAGGTGGAAGGTTGCAGGGTTTGTGTGTCAATGTGTGAATGAAACAAAACACAACTCCAGGTGTGTTTGCGATGAGCGAACAACATTATAATTTTACTTTTTAACTTTTTTTATCAGTCACGCAGAGACGGCTTCACGTACGGACACGATGTTTAGTTTAACGCTCACAGAAATTCTGCAGACCACTTCAGCTTGAGAATGACACATGCAGAATCCCCTTTAGACATTTTGTTCAGTCTCTTAAACTTCCAAAAGCAACAATTATCTGGTTCTTCTGCCACCCCCTCACAGGTGCCACGGGGGAACCAGCACTTTCACAACACTCTCACTCTTCTGGCTAATTGGAGTTTGGACTTTATCCACAGATCCACCTTCTTTTTTTACAAACGATCACAATTAATTTAAATGTAACTCCTGTTTTTCTAGCCTTAAAGGTTGTATAGAGGATTTTTTTAAGGGAAGAGAAATACAGTGACAGTCCTTGTGCGCATTCAGAATTACTGTTGAAGTTTCCTGTCTAGAAGTAATTCAGCGACCGACGCGTCACTTTTTAGACCCTTCGTCTGCTTCGGTCGCGCCATCGCTGGACGAGATCTCCAAGAATCACCTCAGTTTGGCTTTGCTCCTTTTCCTCTTCTCTTCTTCTTTCAGTGACCTCAAAAACGGACTTTCTTTTGCGGCGAACCGGTCATGGATTCTCGTGCTCCGTCGTAACAAACTTTGTGCGAAATGCGAGGAAGCGACAGTTCGAAAAAGCCTCGAAGAACCGTTGCGTAAACCACGTAATCCCCGCGCTCCGACGAGTCAGTTATACTAGGGAGTTTGATTGACAGCCTAACAGCCAATAGAAAATGAGGGAGCCTCGTTTTCTATTGGCTGATGTTTATCTGGCCGCACTACGTCCACAGTTGATCGATTTTTGTTCTTTTTTTTTGGTCATCATAATTACAAAGCTGCTTCGTCTCTGTAATGGTATTTTAATCTTTCACTGAGAGTTTGAAACAAAAAAAAAAATCCTCCATACAACCTTTAACAGACTGGTTAATAATTCTGATTTATAGTTTTACCTAACAAAGCCTTAAACATCTTAAAGGTGCACTGCAAAACATCTCTTCTAGTCTCCGTGGAGGTGTTATTGCTTTTCAGAAAATCCTGTGGTACGACATTAAACACTTCCGTCTCGTATTTATTCATTATGGATGTTTCTATTGCTCAAAAATATAACAATTTCTTCTGTGAATAGCTGCGCCTCTCCAAAGATCTGAATTGTTTTCCTTGTGATAGATCGGTTTAATCTGTATTCTAGATGAAGCAATAGCATTTCCATGGAGACAAGCAGGTGCTGGACCCTCCACTAGAAATGTTACGCAGTGCACTTTTAAATTTCAATTGACAAAACCGCAAAACAGCTACGGGTACGCACACTTTTATACGCTTGTTATTATTTAGTGCTCCTCTTGACTGCACTCCTGTGGCCCTCATTACCACCATTGTTACCTACTCTTTCTCTCTCTCTCTCCTCCTTCATCTCCCTTTTGTTCTCTCCGTCTTTCTACCTCTCTCTCCTCCCTCTCTCCTCTTTGCGGCAGGTTATGTCACATTAATGCTGAGAGTGTATGAAGAGCCCCTGTGCAGCAGTCCCCTCTCTTCATAGACCTCAGCACTGTACGCTCACATGCTAATAGAGCCACCATTATGTGTGTATGGCCTCTGCTGTACTGTTTTAGTTCTATAGTGCATACATGTAAAGGAACAAGAAAAGGAGTGTTTTACATAGAAAATCCCAACATCAACATTTTTGTGTGTCCCAAAAGATTTGACATCATTTTGCAGGCTAATAATTTTGGCAATTCATGTTGAAATAAGCTCAAATTTTCACACAATATATAGAAACAGATCAAGATTTTATATTTAATGTTTTATTTTTAATCTGTTTTCAGGTTGAACCATGCCGTTCACACTTGCGTCTTGGAATATGCTTGCACACAGTTACCCAAGACTGTGCAGCCTTCAATGCAAAATTTGGAAAAACTTCACCAACTGGCAGAGAAATTCAAACTTGGTGCCAAAACTTTAAAGAGAAGGTTGCTTATGCAGGGCTCTGGTAGAAAAACGCTTGTGACGCCTCAAGAAGTCTGTAAGGAGAACAAGTTTGGAAACCCACATTCCTCGAATGACTGTTTGGCATACCAGATCCTTTAACCCAGCATAAGCAGCCTTCCTCTGTAAATTGTTGGTACCAAGTCCAAATTTGTTTGCCAGTTGGTGAAGTTTTTCCAGATTTTGCATTAAGGGCACAATCTTGGGTGACTGTGTGCGGGCATATTCCAAAATGCAAAATGACTTCTCTTTGGGAGTGAACGGCATGGCTCAACCTGAAAACAGAACAAAAATAAAACATTAAATATAAAATCTTGATTCTCTGACTATTTGAGGTTATTTCAACAAGAATTGCCAACATTATTGCCCTGCGAAATGATGTCAAATTTTTTTGGGACACTCTGTATACTACTTTACTGTTAACTTGACTTTCTTTCTCCTGCTGCCTGAAGGATCCTAGCCTTATATTAAAGGTAATTTTCAGCACATTCACGAAGATACGCTCATTTTCACTCCATAAGTTACCTCTTGGGGTTGCACAATATGGCATTAAATGTATCTATCTATACTCTGCAATCCACGGATATGACCTGTAACCTGTCCTGGTGTGTTGACCTGTTTTCTCCATGGGGATACGTTTAATGCCATACTGTGAGACATTACGAAGGCGAAGAAAAAACCTCTCTTGCATGTAGAATGAAACGGTGCATGAGAATGAATGAATCTGTGCAAATGGCCTTGAAATGCAAAGCTTCCTGTTACATTCAGGTCAATTTTCCAGATTTGACAACATACATTTGTAGTTCTAGATTGACCTTGCATATATTTTGTTTGTTGAATTTTAGGTCTAACTTAAAGATGCACTGTGCAACTTTTGTGGTGGAGGGTCTGTCACCTTCTTGTCTCCATGGAGATGTTATTTCTTGTTCTAGAATGTTCCATGCTATGATATTTTGTCATTACATTTATGCATTACTGGTGTTTCTATTGCTCAAAAATACAATAATTCTCTCTGTGAATAGGGTTGCCTCTCCGCAGATCTGACCTGTAATGCAGCCTAGTTGTGTCCCTTGAGATGAATAGGGTTAAGGTCTACCGTGGAACATTCTAGACAACACAAAAACTGCAGTATATCTCAATGAAGACAAGTAGATGCCGGACATTCCGCTAGAAAATTCACACATTGCAGCTATAAATTCATACAAATTCCAAATATTTCAGGTTAATCTTGAAGTTCAGCAGGTTTTGCAGCGTAAGCCTTTTCCTTCCTTTGCGGGTCACCATGTACAGCAGTCAAAGTCAGGCTCTCTCAGTTTGTTAAACCTGGATAAGCTCCTTGATGTGTACCTCACGCGTAATACTCATACACATTCTTACTAAACTCACTGAAATCACCCCTCAGCTGCCAAACGAAGCCAGTCTTATATAGGATCCAAGGAAAGGCGGATCAGGCAGCTCCTCTTCCCAGAATGCAACAGTGTCTTCGAGTAGCCTATAGATTCATTTCTCCAGTCATCTTGTGATTAAAGGTTTATTAATATTTCATAAAGAAACTGTGCGCGGATGTGGCTTGCGAATATCTTTAGTCTTTGTCACCACCCGAAGCTATAATTTTCAGTTTTATCTCATTTGTGTAGTTGTGAGTGTAGCTCGCATGTTCATTCCCTAAAGGTTTATACCAGATCTCACTTATAAAGAGCAGCATGTGTTTGCAGAAGTGGAAGTGTATCATTACAATAAACTTTTTACTTATACTTGGGTTTTATTTTTAAGTAAAAGTACTATAACTGCACTACCAGTCAAAAGTTTGGACGCATCCTTTCATTCAGTGTTCCTTTTTTTTCCTTTACCACATAATTCCATATATCTTGCTTCATATATTTGATGTCTTCTGTGTGTGTATATCAAATGTAGAAAGTAGTGAAAATAAAGAAAAACACATAATACAAAATTTGAATGGTGGTGTAAGTATTTTGGCTTCTTTTACTTCTAGGAGTAAGTCTCTTAAGTCACAAAGATTTACCTCATCATTAGATACTTATTAGGTTTCTTATCAAACTGGGGAACTGTCAAAATCTGTAGATGAGCTTCCTTGTGAGCCAGAGTGTTGGAGACGTGTGGAGACACTTTTTAAAATATTCCATCCAGTCCTTGTATTTGCAAAGGTCACTGGTGCTAGGCTAGTGCATGTCAATGGCCATAGTTAGCCTGCCACTAAAAACTGTTTTACCCACTCCACAAAACACCCAAAACAAAACGATTATTACACCAGACTGTTGATGTAAATGTCTGTGTTGATAGAATAATTTTTGAAGTAAAGCCAACCTTGCATTTGAAGGATTTATGTCTGAGCAGCAGCAGTGAGTTGTACTTCCTGATAGAAAGCTTGGCAGAGGCGGACTGATATATGAGAAAATAGTCCCTCAACATGCAAGGATTCGTGCGATGCAAGGTTAGTTTTATTTCAAACATTATTCTATCAACACAGACATTTACATCGACAGTCTGGTGTAATAACAGATTTGCTTTGTGTGCTTTGTGGAGTGGGTAAGACTGTTTTAGCACCTAGCACCAGTGACCTCTGCAAATACAAGGACTGGATGGAATATTTTAAAAAGTGTCTCCACACGTCTCCAGCACTCTGGCTCACTAGGAAATGGTGTCCTCTGTCCAAAATTCCGGACTATCCCTTTAAAATTATGAACCAGATGTTTTACTCATATTTAAATTTCTACTTTTACTTCTGCTTGAGGTATATTATATTTCATTCATATTGAAAGTAACAGAACTCTTTCTTGAGTACAGTTTTGGCCACTAGCCGCCTCTGTGTATTCAGAAAAAGATTGAGTAATACAATAGCAAGTAAAACATTTGCACTATTTGAGTGTACTCTGCCTAATGGACCACACTGAAATAAGATGACATCTACAAACAAAAATTAAATCTTATTAAATTGCATTGACAAAAACCTTTTATTTTTGTTTCAGAATGAGTCCAGAAATATTGAGATGCTGGCAGCTGCCTGTGCCGTGGGAGTGGGCTGTTGCTTCGCTGCCCCTATAGGAGGTAAGTCAAAGTACACTGAACTGGGTTATTGGTTTGCTATGTATAGACGAATCCTAGCATAGAAGATGACCCAGGTCGATCTTCTATGCGGCAGCTCACTCTGAGGAGAATGTATAGATGGTGAATTCAGGTCACCTCTGTGGAGCTCTGAGATGTTGTGTTCAGGAGCATTGACAGTACACTGTGCCCTGATTGTACTCTGCCCATTTCAGGTCATATCCCTACAACTATCTGCTGGCTGCTAAAGTTTAGTTGTGCAACAGTAGATACACAAGTGTTTCAAAGTGCTTTTTTCCTTTCTGTTTTTCGTAACACTTTCTTTCACTCACAACTTGACCCTTGACTTTTAATTTGGAGTGTTTTTTACTAGTTATGTTTAAAGGAGACATCTTATGCAAAAACACTTAATAGCTTTAATAGGATGGTTGTTTTTGCTTCTCATTTACCCACTCCAAGTTGCATTTTGAATGATTCATGCATGAGTAATCCTTATACTCCTCTGAATTCACCATTGCGTTGAATTTCCCATTTATTTAGTCACAAATTAAAATAAGCCCTTTGCTGATACTGTGAGCTGTAGCTATCCAGGGCAGCCTTTTGTTGTGCTGATAATTATGGTTATAAAACATATTAAATTGTTTTCGATCAATGTTGCAATTTGAAAATATTAAGTGACCATCTACTGGCGTCATAGACATAAATATGAATAGTGATTATTAATCATTAGATTTCTATAGCGCCTTTCCAAACACACTGAGCGCTTTTCACAGCATTATTCATCCACTCTACACTTGGTGGTGGTAACGTACTATATTAGCCACAGCTGACCTAGGGCAGACTGATGGAAGAGTGGCTGCCAATCTATGCCATCAGCCCCTCTGACTGCCACCACACACACACACACACACACCACTTTCATACTAGGCAGTGGGGGTCATGTGTCTTGCCTAAGAACACAATGAATGTTTTTGCCACTGACGCTCCACTGTGGAGACCAGTGGGAATTCCAGTTGCCAAACTATACCAAAAGCATGAGAACACTTGTTTACTCCAGTCACAGTAATATAATATGTAATGTGCAATCTGTGACATGTTTATTTCAGATTGAAGCAAATAACATGATAATATATGTGATTATCCATTTCATGATTTGTGAATTTCCCTTTTCACTTCTTATGATAAAAGTCTCAGAAGAATGTAATATCTAATTTGTCACTATACCAGCTTGTCAAAGCCTGATCCTGTCAGATCTCAGAAGCTAAGCAGAGCTGGGCCTGGTTAGTACTTGGATGGGAGACCATTGGAAAAATCAGGTTCCATAGGGGGGCGCAATTCGCAAAAGCTGTTCTTAGGCAAGACGCTTCACCCACATTGTCGGAGGGGTCGAAGGCACAGATTTCCATCGGTCTGTTCCAGGGCAGCTGTGACTACAATAGTAGTTTACACCACCGAGTGTGGAGTGAATGAATAATTCTCTGTAAAGAGTCTGTGACATATGTCTGTGAAAAGCACTATATAAATAATAATAAAAAAAACTTACTAATTTTGAATAACTGTATTGCAGTACAGTTACTTTTTGATTTGGTGGTATTCAGAATACAACAATATAGTTACTTAAAGATATACATGATGGTACTTCGGCATGTAATCTTGGTTTTGAACTGCACATTATTACTAACACAACAATAATAGTTATTTTAATTATCATGTTTTGTATACCATAATATAATGCAACTCAATGTAAAAGTATTCTAATTAGAGCCCGACCAATATATCGGTTTGCCGATATTTATCTGCCGATATGTGCCGATATTTCACGTGGGCATGTTATACCTCATTATAAATCTTAGACTCTCTACATTATGTTCTTTTAATCCAATTTACAGACAGATAAATGTCCTAATATGTGGCTCCGCATCAGTATTTATCTGCGAGTCATTTGTCTGTGCGTGTCCGTACTGTCCCTGAACACACCACAGAGTCGCGTCACTCACGTGTGTTTGTTTACAGCCGCAGACATAGATCCAAACACTGAGATTATATTCTTTTTACGGGCAATTGGTTTGAGTCTGGATTAAAAGGACATTTATTAGTGCAGATTTGTGATGTGAGGCGGAGCCTGTGTGAGCGGTGAGTGTTGGAAATATGTCGACTTTGAAGCTAGTTTTGGTTATTTGTTAGCGATTAGCTGCTGTAGCTCCCGCACATAAACAGGCTGTTTTCTCTTCTATTGGCCTATTGTAATGTGACTATATTGGCCCTATATTTGTTACTGGACCAGCATTGATATGTAAATGAGCTGTGAATAGAGGCGTGAATTATGCATATAATAAAATACCGCGGCACGCACGCATTTACGGCTAAAGGCTAATGGTGCTGGTTTCTTTTCTAGCTAATAGTGATGGGTCGGTCGTGAACAAAACCACTCTTAGAGGCGGCTCAAACAACGGGAGCCTGCTCCTTATTGGGAGCTGTTTTTTCTCTTTCTCTTTCTTTTTTTCTCTTCACTCCGTGTGCAGACTCGTGGTAGTTTGACAGCGAGCAGTGGCTGAAAACAAAACTCTGAGAAATCTGCGTGTGCATAGGATAAAAAAAAAAAGTGCATGTTTGGCTGTAGTTCAGCATAAAATAAATAAACCAGGACTAAGCTTGGGCTCAAGAGAGGGAGAGACATAGAGACCGAGTCCCAACACTCAGTCCTGATTCAGTTCTGGTTTAGTCCTGTTTTACACATGGATTAGATCTGTTTTAGACCTGGTTCAGTCCTGGTTCAGTCCTGCTTTAGACCTGGTTTAAACCTGGTTTAGTCCTGCTTGCAACAAAACAATCTGTTGCAAGCAGATTGTTTTGGGAGCCGAAAGAGCCAGCTGCTTTTCGTGAGCCGAGCCAAAAGAGCCGGTTCTCTAAAAAGAACTGGAATACCCATCACTTGTAGCTAGAATGTGATGCAAAAATGCCATTAGGTCGACCTACTGTCTGTAAATATGACGTAAAGAGTCAGAATAACAATACATTTTGCCTAAATAAACCCAATTTAAAATTTAAAAGTTTTTTAAACAATTCAAGATTTATAGTGAATTTTTTACATCAATAAATATATCGGTGATTATATCGGCTATCAGCAGCTCCAACTCCCATTTTATCAGTATCATATTTGCCATAAAAAAAAATTCATATCGGTCGTGCCCTAATTCTAAGTATTCAGAATACAGTACTCAGACTGACCCATGTATCAGAATACATTACAAAATACATTTTAATGCAGGTAGTCAGTATTCTGTAACGAAATACATTTTCAAAGTATCTTCCCAATCCCATTAGTGCAAATATCTGTATGTGTGCTCCATATGCTTCCATATATTGCCCATTAGTTACAGAAGCAATTAATTTCAGCCTTCACTCAAATGAATCTTGACGTCTTCAGGTTTTCACATTGTCTGCATGTGAGATTGCACCTGATGTTGTGTGTGTAAATAAATATAGAGGGTGCCATGGAGAATCAGAAATTGCCTCCTCAAACTTGTCATTGCCACATGTGTCGCAGCAGGAGTCCTCTCAGCTAAATCCTGCTTTATAAATAGTCTTTCTTTATTAAACTGTCATTTTGTGTATCGCAGGTGTCTTGTTCAGTATTGAAGTAACATCCACTTTCTTCGCCGTGAGAAACTACTGGAGAGGGTTCTTCGCTGCTACTTTCAGTGCCTTCATTTTCAGAGTTTTGGCTGTTTGGAATAAAGATGAAGGTAAGTGTCAATCGTTAGTACTAGTAAGCCTGTCATGATAACACATTTTGAAGCACAGTGTATAGATACAGAGATATACTGCGATGAATTATAATACTGAAACTACTTTAAATAGACAGTATCATTTAAAAGACCTGAGCTGCTGCAAATACATAGAGAGTCCACCACCTGCTCGTCTCCATGGAGATGTCATCGCTAAGGGTGTGCAAAAATATTGAAATATCAATATATCGTATTGTTTAATGTGGTGATACAAGGTTCTATTTTATTTGTCATTCAAGCATGTGAGAGAAACACATGACAGAACGAAATGTCTTCCTCTAGGCCCAATGATTAAAAGAGATAAAAACAATAGTAAATAAGTATAGTATGTAGGGATGTAACAATAACTGAAATATTGTGATATCGTATCATCAAAAGTCTCACAATAATATCGTGGGCTGTCACAATATATTGAATGACAAGTTCCTTTGCTTAAATGAATGTTTTTACAGTAGCAACAGCTAATAAACATAGAGAACTACATATCCCATGATTCATTTCAGCGCAGACAACATGAAGAGAGATGTTTTTTACTTGAATTCTTGGGATTGTGACGGTAATAATTCACACCAAAATCTCCTCAAAGTATTTTAAAAGCAAAAAAGTGTCTCATCTACAATTATATTAGCCTCTGCAAAATATCCAATAAATATTGTACCGTAAGATGCATATCTTGATAATATCAATATCTTGGGCTGCTGTATCAATATATCGCCAAGAGTATTTTTTGGTGTATTTTACTGAATTATTTAGTTTGAGAGCTGCAGTTTTGTTGTTTGTTTAGAGGAGGGAAACTTGTTTATGTAACACATTTAATATTTTCACTGTTTTCATGAGTAAAATGTGCATGTTTTATATTAACTTTGCAGAAGAAGTGGTTTTATAAAGACTTTTATTATCACAGCCATGATTTAGCCATTATTTTTTATTGAACAGTATCAAATCAATTTGAAATATAGCGTTTCGACTCGAAAGTACATTGTATCAAAATATGTATTGTATCGTGGCCCCTGTATCGAGTTATGCATCGTATCGGCAATTTCTTAAAGATACCCAGCCCTAATCATCACTTTACTTGGAATGTTCCATGGTATGACTTTAAACATTTCCATCTAGCATTTATTCATTGTGGGTGTTTCTATTGCTCAAAAATACAATAATTCCTTCTGTGAGTAGGGGCGACTCTCCACAGATCTGAATTATAATTTTTCTATGGATATGTCATTGCTCTGCCTGATATGTTCCACAGTATGACATTAAACAGCTCTACCTTACGATTATTCAGTTACATTTGGTTTTATAGCTCAAAAATGACCTCGAAAAACAGGCATTCTGACTGTGAGCGCGTTTCGCCTCTCCGCAGATCTAGGGGCGAGGCGGGTTAAGCGTCTTGCGCAACGACACAACAACAGCATTCATCTGATGGAGCTGGAATCACACCTCCAAACTGACAAATGATTCTTTATGTCGAATCCGTAGACAAACGCTCTACCAACTCGGCTACTGTTGCAAATAGTTGTAAATAGTCCGGTACAACGTTTATCTTGTTTTCTACGTGAGTCTCTGAAAATACAAAATAATTGATACACAGACACTTGCTTCTGCCCCATCTAACACAGACACACAAGCACATTCAACAATCAGAAAACCACAAAGTAGAAGGATTACATAACACCGGAGACAGTACAATTATGTGGAAAAGTTTTACTGAGCTGTGAAAATGCGAACCCATTAGTGGTTTTCTAAACGCATCACTTAGTTTGGTGCCCATTAAAATAACTCAACATTGAACTTTGTCTCTTGTTAAATATTAGATTATCTTTCTGTGCCAGCAACAAGCGCACGCCTCTTTAAAAACCAGCAGGAAAAACACAAAAACACCAAATAATGAGCCAGTGTTTACAGTTTGTGGACAGATTTTCAGTGGGTGCAGTGATTTGTTCCTTTCTCTTAACTTGAGTGTGTTTGTTCATTTTGCAGAAACCATCACGGCTTTGTTCAAAACCAGATTTCGCCTGGACTTCCCCTTTGACCTCCAGGAGCTGCCGGCTTTTGCAGTTATTGGGTATGAGTCAAAATGAGTCTGTGTTCCCAGTGTTCATGTGACATTTCTGTGACATTTCTGCAGCTTTTTATGAGGAAATATTATTTTTTATATCTTTTTTTATATTTTGTTTGCTTACTTTTATTACTTTCTTTTCTTTCGTACTTTTCTTACTCCATAATATAGTGAAACATGCTTGAAAAGAAACCAGATCTTCTTCAAAGTTAAAGGCTGTAGGCGAGGGTCTGTAGCTCATTTTCACTTTCTTTAAAAATGTAAAAAACTGAACTAGTTCATTTGAAATGGTTTGCAGTGGTCCAAAGTTATTCTTTTTATCTTATGCACTTTGTTCTGAATGTTGTGAAAAGCATTTATTGAAAAACTCATGATGCTCAAAGTTTTGCCATCATCTTAAAGCTAAAAACAAGTGGCATGTTAACACACTCCTCCTGATTATCGCTCATTACAACACTTTATAATTAGTTTAGAAACAATTTGAATTTAATAGTTTGATCTCAAGAGTGACTTATTAGCGGTAGGATGAGATACAATTTCCACGAGATTGGATCTACGAGAATGAGACAAGACATTCTTTATAAGAAATAAATCACCATTTTGATTTGATTTTTGATTGATTTTATATTTATGTTGTCATTGTAGCAGTGCTTTTTGGGACTACAGCTTCTCAATACTGATAGATAGGGACATGCACATTCAACAGAAATTGCAACTCCGTGCTGAGTCCAAAGACAAAAATAGTACAGAAAAAGAAAAGAGATCCCAAATTTTTATTTCAGTGACACCAAAATGTGACATTTTAAAGCCGTTCTTGGTCACATTGTGGTGTCATTGAAATAAAAAATAATAATAAAATAAAAATTGGGAGCTTCAAAGAACTGCAGTGCAGATCTCTTTCCTTTTTTTGTACTACAGCTTCTCAAAAAATGTAAGTCACCAGTACTTAACTTCATAACTCCATTTTTATTATCCAATCCAATCGTAAAAACATGGGGGAAAAAAATCTCACAAGATCATTTTCAGCATGTGTGCACAATCTCATGGCAATTTTGTCTCGTGAGATCTTGTGGCACAAGATCTTGTCCAATCTCTATTGTTTATATAATATATCTGTATTGGGACAAGACAAATTTTGCTCAAATACATGGGGGAAAAGTAGCCTGATTCATCAGTTGGTTTCACTTTGTGAAAACTATCTGACCTCGCAGCATTAGGATTTGTTCGCGCGATGGTACGCGGGTACTTTTTTTATTTAACCATTCGCTGCTATTTGGTCAGGACGTATGTAATGCTCTGGAACTCAGTGGTGTCCAAGTAATTGCAGGCACAACAACAAAGAAAGAGAGTGAACATGTCTGTCAACGATCATTGTTGTTTCTGCGAGATGAACTTGCGAATTAATGGTGCAATAAATATGCAAAGTTTGTGGCGTCTACATCCATGTTGACCACTTTGTTTACTGTTGTGCTGTACCACCAAGGGACCCAGACAGACACTTGGAGTTTGACATCATGGCTTCACAGCTCTTCGCTGATTGGCATGGTCTACAACTTCTGGGGTTCTTGCAAACTGTCTAGTGTATTCTGATTCCTGACCTAGTTGCTGGAGAGAAATTAAATTGAGTGGAGGCACTAGGTGGTGCCAGTCTGGCTAGGGGAAAAGGGGTTCAGGGCCTTTAAATAAAGACTTATTACAGTTTATGGATACATACTTAATGGGTAGTATTTTGAAATATCAGTACCTAATCTTAAGCCGCTTTGCGATTTCATTTCAGTATATACTTGTTACTGCGGCGGCACGGTGGCTGAGTGGCTAGCACTCATGCCTCACAGCAAGAAGGTTCTGGGTTCGATCCCCGGGTCGCCCGGGCCTTTCTGTGTGGAGTTTGCATGTTTCTCCCCGTGTCTGGATGGGTTTCCTCCGGGCGCTTCGGTTTCCCCCATCAACCCAAAACATGCTACAGGTCTCCATAAACAGTTGATAGTCAAGGTCAGATAAATACAATCAATTCAGTCATTGTGTCCTTAGGCAAGACACTTTGCCCAATTTTTGCCTAGTATGAAAGTGGTGTGTGTGTAAGTGATGGTGGTGGTCAGAGGGACCGATGGCGCTGAGTGGCATGGCAGTCGCGCTTCTGTCAGTGTGCCCCAGGGCAGCTGTGGCTGCAATAGTAGTTTACCATCACCAGGGTATAGAGTGAATGAATAATGCTGTATGAATGAATGCTGAATGAATAATGCTGAATAAAGTGTAAAGCGTCTTTGGGGACAGGAAATGTCTGTGAAAGCGCTATATAAATAAAGACTTACTTACTTATTTATTTACTTACTTACTTACTTACTTACTGTTCATTAGTGTTACAGTACTTTTCATGTAGTAGTATGAAGTAGTATTACCATGATGGCAAACTCTACTCTGGTGTGCAAATCTCTTCCAATCTAATTTCAGTGAATCATTGGGAGGCTCAGAATGTGTAAGGTTCACACATGTTTGAGTAATCGTTTATTATTAGTCTGTCTACATCTCCAAAGCAGCTACTATTTACCTTTAGTTCAGTTGAGATGAGAAATTCCAGGACTTAAATTATCCAAATTATTCTATTGAAGGTGTGTGGAGTTTAAAAACACAATGGAGCACTCCAGGTATGTTAGTGATGAGGAAAAACATTATAATGTAGATCAGAAAATAGCGTGATATAGGAGCTTTAAATAGCTGTAGTTATTTCAGTGCTGAGTGATATTTCCAGGGCAATTTCATATTACCATTCTAACAGATGCCCTACAGGTAGAAGTACAGTCCATGTACTCAAAGTTAGTCTAAGTAGCCCTGAATATCCCCAAGTACAAAGTGTCCTGTGGGTGTGTATTATCGCTTGTACATTCTGGGCTTGTGAGGGGGCCCTGCTGTCTTCTCAAAGGTGTGATCATGAGCAGGGCGTGTGTCTCTCTCTACATGGGTAATTTAGCAGCAACAGTTGCCTTCTCACCGGGGGATGTCTTATTTTATCCTGTCTTTGCCTCCAGGCTTGTCCGCCATAGAATTAGACCACAGGCTCCTTGAAGAGATGCAACGGAGGGAGGTGAGGAGAGGAGAGGAGAGGAGAGAGGGAGGAGAAGAGAGGAGGGAGGAGAGGGGAGGGGGGTAATCTTTCAAATTGACTTTTTTTTAACAAGTTTGCATTTCTTTGCCAGAATAGCCCTCCCTTTTTTCTCTTGTGTAATTTTTTTGACAAGTGTGAATTTGTATTTGTGTCAAGAACTAAATGGTCTCCAGTTCTTGTAATATATCAATGTATAATATATAATACACACAATATACAATATACAATATACAGGGTGTCCCAAAAACATCATTTTGACATCATTGTAAAAGCAGTTATCTTGAAAACTACTAAATCTAGCTTAATGAAATTGAACAGTTTAGGTGTTGAACATCATAAGTTTATAATGGAACTTTGTTTGCCAGTAGGTGACGTTTTTCCAAATTTTGCATTGAAGACTGCACAGTTTTGGGTGATTGTGTGCGAGCAGATTTGCAAAATGACTTCTCTTTGGGGGTGAACAGCATGGCACTACATGAAAACAGAACAAAAATAAAACATTAAATATAAAATCTTGATCTGTTTCTATACATTCTTTGAAAATTTGAGGTTATTTCAAGGCAAGGCAAGTTTATTTGTATAGCACAATTCGTACACAAAGTAATTCAAAGTGCTTTACAGAATAAGAAATACATTAAAATCATAATAAAAACAAATCAAAACATAAATAATCATGAAGATTAAAATGAAAAAAGAGAGACATAAATTGGAGAGAAGAGGGTGGAATGAAAATCTTTCAGTTATATGCACAGTTAAACAGAAATGTTTTGAGCCTGGATTTAAACAGCGTCACAGAAGAGTCTGTCTCACATGTTCAGGAAGACTGTTCCAGGTTTTAGCTGCATGAACCTGAAACGCTGACTCCCCTTGTTTAGTTCTGACTCTGGGCACCAGCAGGAGGCCGGTCCCTGAGGTCCTCAGAGTGCGAGATGGTTCATATGACACTAACATGTCACAGATGTACTTTGGTGCTCGGCCATGGAGAGACTTGTACACAAGCAGAGCTGCTTTAAAGTCTATTCTCTGAGGCACAGGAAGCCAGTGCAGAGACCTGAGCACAGGACTTATGTGCTCGTACTTCCTAGTTCGAGTCAGGACCCGAGCTGCAGCGTTCTGGATGTTCTGCAGCGTCTCACAGCTCGTTTTGAGAGACCAGTGAGCAGACCATTACAGTAGTCTAACCTACTGGAGACAAATGCATGGATAAGTTTCTCCAAGTCTGATTTAGACAGTAAACCTTTGATTTTTGCTATGTTTTTTAGATGGTAAAAGGCTGCAGATGTTATTGATTTGATGTGGCTGTTAAAGTTCAAGTCTGAGTCCATTATTACCCTAGATTTCTTGCCTGATTTGAAGGTTTTAGAGGGAGAGACTGGAGGTGACTGCTGACACTGTCCCTTTGTTTCTGTGGACCAAACACTATGACTTCAGTCTTGTCAGAGTTTAGCTGGAGAAAGTTGTTTTGCATCCACACACTGATCTGTTGGATGCAGTGACCAAGTGAGTCCACTGGTCCATAGTCTCCTGCTGCCAGAGAGACGTAGATCTGAGTGTCATCTGCATAATTGTGGTAGGACACGTTATTGCTGCTTATTAACTGGCCTAATGGCAGCATGTAGAGATTGAACAACAGGGGGCCCAGGATTGACCCCTGAGGCACCCCACAGGTCAGGGCCATGTCATCTGAGACACAGTTTCCAATTTCAACAAAATACTTCCTGTCTTCTAGATAGGACTTGAACCAGTTTAGTACAGTACCAGAGATGCCCACCCAGTCCTCTAGTCTCTGTAAGAGGATCCCATGATCGACAGTGTCAAAAGCAGCACTCAGATCTAACAGGATCAAGACTGAGACTTTGCCTGCATCAGTGTTCAGGCGGATGTCATTTGTCACCTTGATAAG